ATCAATTTGACGGATGTCAGATTCCATATTTAACTTTTCAACAACTTGTGTTGAATTTGTTTGATGCAATGGCATGAGTACATATTCTGATTAAAAGAAAAATCGTATTTTAACACGTTGACTGGCAGACCCCTCAAATTAAAAGGAAAATTACATTTTGTTTTTAGACAATTGGAAACTAGCGTACCAAGAATTCGCCATGGAATTTATTTTCACAGACTCGTTAAAACTCAAGGGACCCTACCTAGCTTTATTTTCTTTTGCATCTGATCTTGAGAATTAATTTGTTTAACTCCTCGGTGAAAAGTCGTGACACCCATATATGGGTGATGTGGCAGTCAATGTGTTAAGGTAATCGTCAACATGAAAGGTATCAATAAATATATCGATCAGTGCCCGTAAGGTGGTATTATAATGTATTAGGTCGTCCCATAAGTTCGTGTAGTTCGATATTCTGAACTTGGCGAGGCTAAAATGTATAATTTAATAGAAAGCAAAAAAAATTTCTCAGTTCAGAGGATTCTAAAATTTTAAACATATAACATTCGTACAAATTTGAAACGAATAGATATTTTATCGAAGCTCGAAGTTTGGATTCCATGCTGGCTTATGGAACGAAAATTTCTTGATTTTTGTTAGCATATATGAAAACTGAACCTTATACGAAATAAAATACAACAGTCTCCAGGTTTAAAACAATTTGAAAATGTTGGTGGTCTGATAAAAAGCGTTGAACCACATTTTAATAAAAAATCGAACAAATTTTGTAGCAACGATGCAATGGCTTTGCCAAAGGAAGGGGAGGGAGTTGTCCAACGAAAAGAGGTTCACTGTTTTTCATCAAATTCCGTTATATTTTTAATAACTTTAAGTTATAGTACAAAACTAGTCACGAACATAAGGGACGACCTGATAGTTATTTTTGGAAGCTTCCCAGAACAATATATAAAATTTAGAAATTAAAATGGCCGTCACTGTATGCGTACGATGTCTTGTAGAACAAGTGCTATATTAAATTTGACTATAGACAAATACGCGAGAAAATTGAATTTTCAATGGAGATACAGAACTGTGCGAACACTGTATCGACGAAGTGACCGATTGAAAAAATCGTATCGTGCGAGGGGGCTGTGTTAGGTACCGCGAGGGGGGAATGAACGATGCGAAAAGATGGGCTGAGAACTAACGGAACTTAAACGTCTAAGCTATTTTACACGCGGAATGGACAGAGTGGCTAATATAGGAATGAAAATTGCAGAATGATCGTGACGTCGTTTAATCACAAAGTTCGAGACGACAGAATTTATTTGGGGGCAAACGAAACGGGTAGCGCTACGAGTCGATTTTCGTCCCGGTTGACCGATTTTGTCGGATTAAAAATATAGATAATTTGAATTCTCGCGCGAAACTGATCCAAATTTAACGGTATCGTTGAAAATTAATGCCACTTCGAAGTTAACATTCGATCGTTTCGCTCTGCAAAGTTACGGAATTTAATATACTCCTGGGTTAAATGGAAATACGAATTCTGGCCTTTAAAAGTAAGAATTTCTCTTTGGAAGTGTGTTTGAAAATACTTTCTGCAAAGAATTCTCTGTCTTCTAGAGTTGTGGTTTTATTTGGACTGTAAACAAAATTTCTGGTTTTATTGGCGAATATGCTGACACGATATATTTATATGGCTTTCGATCTTCGATTAAAATGGAGAATACTGAAGAGTGCAAAGAATTTACAAATTCACTCGATAATATGTGCAACGCTTGTCTTCACGGTGGACGCCATTATTTGGAACAAACTAATTGTAGAATTCTTTCTTATAGTGTTATAACTTTAGAAGTCAGTGTCTCTAGAACGAAGTCTTTGCAACCATACTTCCAGAGAAGCATCTTTTCAAAGTTCAGGAATGATTTTTAATATGAACATCTTTCGTACAGCGAAAGTGAAATTCGATATTAGTAGATATTTATACACAGCGATATCGTTGAGCTTCGAAAAAAAGCATTGTCTTTTATACAAATGGTCGCTGGCACCTTTGCTCGTATCGCCTTTTAAATGTCATATTTCAATAAAAACGTTCATTTTACGAATCATTACTGTATTCAGAGCCACAGTTCAAATTGTACACTCGTATATGGGGATCTCTTTGACATCATTACATTCAGCTTCTCCATTAAGTAATATCGTTTCTTTATTCTCAGCTTTCGAGGGCATTTCGATGAATTTCGTACCACGGAAAGTCGAACAAATTACCCAATATTAACCCAATATATCTGCCACAGCTTAAAATGAAAAGTTTGATTACGTAATTTAATAAAGTTTCCTGCATTTAAAGGAAAAATAACAAGATCGCGATAGAAAAATGAAAACAATCGTGATTTTGATCGACTCGTCAGCGTCCCCGGCGGTTTCTGTGTCGTACGACTAACCAGTCGCCCTATAAATGCTAAGACAAGATGTTCGTCTCGCGTCCCCGGCCACTGACACACCGCGACGACGCCGCAGCGACGGAAGAGTCGCGTCCCGACGCATCCACAGGAGGCGCTGGCAAACTATCTACACGCGCGCCCGGCCATCGTACCCGCGAACTAATTAATATACAAAAATATTACAAACAAACGTGCCCCCCGCGCTCCTGTGGCGCGTTCCCCGCGAACGGACCCTCCCGTTCTCGATCGCTGCGACGCGTTCGTAAACAACAGGACGCACCACGCGGCGTCAACGACCTCCGATCTGGGAGGTCTCGTAACGGATCCACGTGCTCGTCCATGGGCACGCTTTCGACCGAACTCGTGTTTCCAGGGGCTCGAAGATCGACGATTACGGGCCCCCGAACGCTCCCGGACGCGGTCCCGTGTTTTTTTTATTTGTTTTTTTCTTTTCGAAAAATTCGGAACCGAGTTCGATCACGCGGTATTCAGGATCGGCAAGTCTGTGTCGGATGGGCTTGGGAAATTCGGATGGAGAACGGAGAACAGGGCCATCGACATCTAATTCCTTATAATTTCGATACGTATACGTATTAATATATGTATATGTATATGCGTACATAGTAATTTAATGTATTTATAAGTGTCCAACGCGCATCCGCTTCCGGTTTTTGCTCGTGTGGGGCCGTCCTCGGGCCTCGTTTCGTACGCTCTAAGCTCGAATCTTTCCGAACGATCGTCCTTCCTGCGTAACCTTTTTCTTTCTCGTGAATTTCGTTTAAAAAAAATGTCCATCGACATGGGACACGCTACTTACGGTTAATCTCCTCTAAACTATACAATACTAAGCGACGGACCGCGGACCGCTTCTTAAACGTTTAAGTGTCTGATATAAGAACGAGGCGCCCTTTTCGAAAGGGGTCCCCGGTTTCATTTACACTCCCGTCCATAAGTCACCGGACACTTACTCGTTTTCAGCAAAAGAATGATTAAAACACAGATATAACTCTCTAGCTTGATTTTATTGTTAATCTTGTAATATTTAGGTATTTTACGATAATTTCGGTATATAAAAATAGAAATAAATATTAGTTATTTAAATAAAAGTTTAAAAAAGGAACTGCATGCATAAACACTTATTTCGTTACATTTCCATTCGGTACATGTTGGGATAAATTGTTCGCTTTGGACGTTCAAAACCATCAAAGGACTATATTGGGAACATTGTAAAGAGTTTATAAACACTTTGAGAGGAGTTCTAGACTAAACAGAGATAAGCATGGAGCTGCGAAGGCGAAGTCGCTGTTTCTTCTTCATTTCAAGTTTGACAGTGCATGTGATCAGTATGAGCAGTTCTAGAAAAGAATTATCCATTCAAAAGCGTTCGAGTATTATTACTCTTGCTAAAGAAGGCTATTCTGTGCGGGAAATTGCAATAAAAACTAAAATTCCGAAATCAACAGTGCATGATACAGTGAAAAAATTAACAGAGACTAATACTTTTGAATATAAAAAACGAACTGGACGGCCCAAAAAAACAACAGAAAATGAAGACCGCTATATACAAACGTTAAGTAAACGAAACAGGAGGATGACATCAACAGAAATTGCGGCAGAAGTTAACAAAGATCGAGAGGATCCAATTGGTACGACAACAGTTAAGCGGCGTCTTTTGCAAGCAGGGCTTCGCGGGTGTGTTGCAGTTAAAAAACCGTTATTAAGGACTCAAAATAAGAGAAAAAGGCTGCAGTGGGCAAAATTACATAAAGATTACACTGCTGAAGATTGGGAAAAGGTGTTGTGGACCGATGAGTCGAAGTTTGAGGTGTTTGGTACAAAACGACGAATCCATGTGCGTAGGAAACAAAGTGAAAAATTAATTCCCGATTGTATTGTACCAACCGTTAAGCATGGGGGTCAGTCTGTAATGGTATGGGGTTGTTTTGGGGCAAATCAAACTGGCGATTTAGTGCAAATCGAGGGAATATTAAAGAAAGAACAATATTTGCAAATTTTACATGACCATGCAGTGCCGTCTGGAAAACGCTTAATAGGACGAAACTTTATATTTATGCAGGACAATGATCCCAAACACACCGCAAAAATTTGTGCAAATTATTTAAAAGACCTAGAAAATAATCATGAATTGAAAATTATGGTATGGCCTCCGCAATCACCCGATCTTAATCCAATAGAGAAATTATGGGAAGAAATAGACAGAAACGTACGCAAAGTGTGTCCAAAATTAAAAAAGCATTTATGGGAACTATTACAAAAAAGTTGGACAACAATAAATCCAGAAAAATTAAAAAAATTACTCGACAGGATGCCACGACTAGTCCAAGCAGTGATAGCCGCACGCGGCGGATATATTGACGAAAAGAAAATATAAGACATTTCGGTAAGATATTTGACATTTTTCCACTACTTCTTTATCGTAAAATACCTAAATATTACAAGATTAACAATAAAATCAAGCTAGAGAGTTGTATCTTTGTTTTAATCATTCTTTTGCTGAAAACGAGTAAGTGTCCGGTGACTTATGGACGGGAGTGTACATCGCGATAGACATTTCGCGATCTTTTCCCCCTTAATTTACCACGATATATATTAAAGACTAAGTGTCAGTCGTTCCCGAGCGCTTGTGCCCGCGTTCCGCCATTAAATTTTACGCCCTCTCCCCCCTCCCTTCCTTTCTATTTTCCTTTCGAGACTACGACGGTCGATGATCGAGAACAGCTCGCGAACGGTCGATGTCAGCTTTTTAATTCCAATACCATTGCGTGCACGCGGTGGAACCGGAAGCAAGAAACGAGGCTGCGAGGATCGACAGCGAACGGAACGCGGATGCGTTTCGTTTCCCTTTCTTCATTTACTCGCTAATGCAATGTACACGAAAGAGAGAGAGTGAGAGAGATACATATGTATATGTATATATTTACGTTATATAGATATAACCGCGGTTCCGAAATGAAACGGAAGGATAGAACAGAAAATACATCGTTGTTCGCAATTGCTTGAGTAAGGATATGGATCGAAGGATCGCGGTTTCCCGACACCCGTCGACTCTCGTCGACGTGTTCGTTCGCGACCGGAGCACGGAAAAAGTCTCAGTTTTCCGCGCGCGCGCGTGTGTGTGTTTTCTGTATTTTTTTTTTTTCCTTTTTTTCTCTTCTTACGTCTTTCGTCAGTGTTCCTCGTTATATCTCGTTACCTTTAAAGTCGCTTCTAACGCGTCGCGGCTTCGGATATGATGAATGCATGGGGGAGAATTTCTTACGAAGGAGGAGGGCTGGGTGGTCCTAGGGGCCTTCGTCGTCGTCTTCCGGCGTTCTCTTCCTCTTCGTTCGCCGGCGTCCTCGTCACGCTCGTTTCCCGGTCTCGGCTCGTCGTCCACGCGAAAGAAGGATGTTATCGTTTTTCTCTCGCGAACGGGCCTAGACGCGACAGCTCGAACCTACTCGCTGCTCGAGAAACGATACTACGCTTCGATCTGATCCTCCGGGGTCATTATGTCGGGCGCCATCGACAGGTCCTCGGCCATGTCCTCGTCCTGGCCCGAATCGTGCCCGTGGCTCTCGGGATACTCCCTCTCGTCCACCTGATCATCCTCGCCCTCCTGCTCCACAGCCGCGTCCACCAGCTCCCGCTTTATTAATCTCGTGAGTTTACCCCCCTCAGGACTCTGGCCCTCCTGCTTTATGTGCACGGCTGGTTCATCCAACGGTGACCTGCACAATTTGCAAAAAAGAATATATTCATTAACAGAGTACTCTTGTCTACACCGCCATCTTTTCCGATTTTTTTTTTAACGATAGGCAGGCTGTTTTGTACTGAGATTTTGCAGATATATTTATTCATCTTATGAGCATGTACAGTATTTTTTTCATCCAAAAATATTAAACATTGTGGGAGCTATAACTTCTTGTTTACTATTACTATTATTCATTCATTAAGGGAGTATTGCTGTCTAGACCGTCATTTCTTCTGCCTTTTTTGTTATTTTTTTTTTAATGGTAGACAGGCTGTTTTGTACTGAGATATTGCAGATATATTTATTCATCTTATGGGCATGTACAGTATTTTTTTCATAAAAAAATATTAAATATTCTGGTGTACTATTACTATTATTCATTCATTAACAGAAGAAAACCATTTGTACAAAAAAAAAGTAATAATAAAAATTGCAGAAAATATTATCCTCTATAAAATTTAGTAAAATCATTAATTTATGCTGCAAGAGTACTTTTAGACTTCTTACGTATCTGTTTGTGTGTGTACGGAGTTGGCATAAATAATTCTATTTACAGAATAAAATAGAGTGTGATTTTTAAATATTTTGATGGTACATGCATGGAGAACCATTGAACAATTTGATTAATTTATTTTGATTTATTTTGATTTACTTTGATTAATTTATTCGCAAACACAATATTAGTAACTTTCCCTTTATTATGCAATGTTTTGAGAATTATATTATTAATTGAGTCATCAGAATTATACGAGTAGATATGGGGCACCCACTTGCACTCTTCCAATGCTATTGATATAAGTTTTATAGTATGCAAACCAAATGATCCTGCCATATGTTGATTGAAAACGTTAAAATCTTGTTTTTCTGCGATTGAGAATTGCAAAACCTAAAATTTATCGTAGTACTTATTCTTGTAACCTTTTAGAAATTCATGAATCATGATCAGATCTATTTTCTTCACTAATTGACCTTGAGAAATCATTTTCTTAGGTCCCCAATAAAGAGTCACCCACTTTGTTGACTTTATATCTTTCACGAGAGTAGACCAATAAAAGGAAACTCGTTCGTTCGATACTACGACAAATAACGAATAACACTAACAGACGCACACAGTGTTCTTACATTTACGTAACGAAGTATACCAATATAAAGAATAATAATATTTCGCCCAAATAAAATTCAATCCAAGAAAAGCAGCTCCAAGAAACGACCAGATAGAATCGAACAGAGACGTTTGGTTTCGTGGAAGAGAATCGTAGAAGCAATTTCGCGAGGAATACAGGCAATTTTGTCTATTGGAAATTTATTCTCCTCATTTGGAATCTTTCATGTGACGCGTACGCGAAACCGTGGAAGAAACTTTCCTAAATATCTTCGGACTTCGAATAACGTATTTGTTGACAGAACTACAGGGGAACTTACTGGCGAACGAAATAACTTCGAAACAACGGAAATTTCTATGCGACGGTAAAAGTTTGGAAACAGCTGAACTTTCCGGACCAACGAAACCGTTTCGAAATAAAGCTTTTAGCGAAGGAAAACGCTTCGAAATAATAGAAACTTCTGTGTCGGTGTCTGGTTCTATTTATACTAAATTTCGCGATTAATAATTATAGAACAATCTTATTTCAACCCCTCTATTTGTATAGTTTGGGTTAGATCTTTGTGTTGTTCTTTTATATTTTATATTCCTTTTATTCTTAATTATTACTGTTCCATCACACCTAGTGTCTCATACTTTTATGTGTTTTTTCTATTTTTGTGTTTTTAGAGACTTTCTTCACTATATAGAAATAAAAAAAAAAGAGACATTGCTTTACAATCTAATTTAAATTAATATTGCTCACATAATTAAGAATTTCCCAATTACATCTAGTCTTATCATTTTATATGTTTTTAATGGGAGATTCTAGAGGCCAAAATAAGACGAAAATCAAGAATATCAATTTGTTGATGGAGGCTTCGTTAAAAAGTTATTAACGTTTAAAGTTCCGCCTGTAGAACGTTTGCGCGACAGTGGTTCTCACTCAGCATGAGAGACTCTACTCACTGACTTTAAACGTTAATTACTTTTTAACGAAGCCTCAATCAACAAATTGGTATTCTTGATTTTCGTCTTATTTTTACCTCTAGAATCTTCCATTAAAATTTTTTCAAGGGATAGCTGAACACTCTGTATAGAAATAACAAACTACATGAAAGATTGCTTTACAAACTATCTACACACATCTGTATATATAATATCTCACATCTTGGTACATTCTAATTAAAATAATTCTTTTTAAATAGCAGAACAGAATAAAATACAGAAGATAAATATTGCACAGATGAATTTTTCGATTGTCGAGACGAGTTATTAGATTTTAGATATTATCAGTAAACAAAGGGTACGAATTTTGTTTTACTCACATTAAATCGTTGTGTGTTAACACATGCTCCTTGTCGGGACTCGTCGTCGTCGACGTGCACATCGAGTTGCTCAGAAAGCCCATGTTCGAGTCACCGAGCGCTGCCTGGAAATACTCAAATTGCATCAGATGATTAGTCGAGACAATCGTTCGTCGTGCCTATTATCGAGATTACGAAAAACACGTTAATGTTAGAAACGCGAGGAACCACATCGAAAACTGCATCGATCCTAAACAGTTACCTGGAGATTGGCGTTTAATGCGTCACCGTACATGGTCGGACTGTGCGTTAGGGTTGGGCTCTTCGACGGGACACCCCTACATATCGACAGAGAAAACACTATTAATAATCGACGGAAATTCGGCTGTGAATTGTTTCCCTGAAACGAAACGCGTGTATGTAAGCTCTATTCTTTTAGTTTTGTGTCAATGTATACGGGTGGAATAAATTTTTTTTTTTTAAGAGTAAATTCGGTGGGGGTTGTGGTTCGGGGTCGGGGAAGGGGTGAGGGGTAAAGATAGAGCTTTGTGTGTACAATGTGTGCACGTGTGATCGAGTTTTAATATGTAAAGGTATATAGATAAAGAGAGAAAGAGTGATAGAGAAAATGGAAAGATAGATAGTAAGATAGATAAAGAGAAGTATAATTATGAAAAAATGTATACACGTATATATTATATTAAAAATGAGATAAAAAGAGTGGAAAAAAGAGAGAGTTCGAAAACTCTTACCCGTACAACCGGTTTCACTCGCTCGTCCAAACGATCGGCTCTTGGCTGAGATTGAGCGAGATTAGGTGGTAAAAAAAGTGTAAATGTAGATATATGTATATATTGAAAAATTTCAAAAAAGTCGCTCCCGTTTCCGTGGGTACTGTTCGCTCGAAACGAAGGAGACAGGAAAACAGTTCCTTTGCTTTCTTCGTTTTTGGCTGCGGAAACAACGTCGTGGCTTATAAACGGCTCTGAGGCTTACCTGTGCTTACCTTCGTACGATTTTGTCCGAAATTCCTCGCTTTGTGATTTTTTTTTTCTTTTGGTACCGAACCCCGATCGAACGATGTACCTTTTTCGAGAGACACGAAAAAGGTACTTTCGCTCTCTCGCAAACAATCACCACAATTATACGATTTTTTAATATGAGAATAGAGAAATATTTGGGTGTAGATTTGTTTACGAGAGACGGTTGCATGCGAAGGAAAAATATAAGAGAAAAAATATTTCGCCTAGAGCCGTTTATCAAGTGACTCGGAGCGTCGAGTGTAGTAAAGAGAAGTTGAAAGGGAAAAGACAGAGATAGAGAGAAGTAGAGAAAGATAGAGAGAGACAGAGAAGTAGAGAAATATAGTGAGAAGTAGAGTGATAATGTAAAAAGAGAAAATTGTTGAAAAACGTTTATTAAAAAGACGATTAAAAAAGTACAGAAAATTACCGGAGGTTGCAAAAGTTAGTACGTAAACCGTGAGAGGTACCTGAGTTAGAAGAAGAGTGGTCGTAGACGATGAACGAAGAATTCCGTATCATCCGAGATTGCAGTTGTGACGCTTAATTTACACAATTTACACATGCGCGAGTAGCCCTGACACACATGATCAGTCACACCGAACACCACTCTCACGTCGAAGAAGCGTACTAAAGGCGAACGGAAGAGAAAAAAAACCAAAGGCGAGCGACGTGTGTAACGAGAAACGAAAGAAAAAAAAGAAAAGAGAACGCATACTTCAACAACGCCTTTTGTCATCGACACTAAAAAAGTAAAAAAAAAAAAAAATAATAACAATACAAAAGCTTCGCCTTTCCCTTACGAGGAACTATCCGCCAAGTCGCTCTGTCTAATGCTACACGCTACGGTTTGCTCCTCAACAGCGAAAACAAAAGAAAAACATCGAACCCAAGAAAGAAAAAAAAATGACGCGACAAACGCTTCGTTCGAACGGAAAAAAGAAGTGAAAAAACCAGCTGATAGCGAAACGGAGAGATAATGTCCGGGGTAAAAAAAAGAAACAAGGTGCAACGAAACGTTTGTTCGCGCAAACACTTCCACATTCTCCCAAGACACTGCAAACGCCACTACGTAAGCACCATACAATTATAAGCACAGTGTTTTCAGTGGTAGGATAGTCTTACGGGTGATTTTCTTTATCGTTATTATATATATATATTTTTTTTTTAACTTATTTCAGGGACGAATATTAGGATCCTCGGTTATCCATGCGAGCAACCACTAAACACATCAGAGATCCTGCAGCATGGACCAATCGTCCTGTGGCTGGGCTCCTGCAGGATCGTTCAGGATTTAAGCTCTCTCGGGTGTGCTAGAGCCTCGGGCTACGGTTCTAGTGACGTTTACGGGGATGTACTATGAGGGCTGTTTGGGACGTCACGAGCAGAGGTGCGCGTGATATTCAACCACCATTTAACCGCGGAGGGTTTCGAAATTTTCATCGAAGCGGTTGTTGCTCTCTGACTTTTTAGAATCCACCTCGAATTCACTCGGCTAAATTTTGTTTGCTGATGATAAATTAGCAATTAAATGAGCATCTGAGTAGAAGAGAACAAGGTCTGCGCACCTCTGGTCACGAACGGGGGGAAACTGAGACGGTTCTACGGTGGTCCGGTTCTCGGGGAGACGGATTCTAAAGGCGTTCGAGGCAGGCATGATGCGGAATTCGTTTCCTGGGGATTGGATAAACTGCGTAGAGTCAATCCCTGCTGCCTTGGAAGTCACTTCGCGACTGGTCGCTCCGGAGAGTTCGATCGCGACGTCGTGCGGGCGAATTGAGCGTCAGAAAAGGAGCGCGAGGATGTCGTAGAAAAGAAATTTTGATATTTAGAAATCGTTGAGAGCGACGGGAAAACCGGAAGAGTTGGAAAAGATTCGGTTCTTTTTTTTTTGAACGACAAAGGCAGCAGGTACGAGAGGGGCGTTTAGTGGTTCGTTTTGTAGACAACGGCCAAGCGAAAACGTCCCGGTCGCCGCGTTATAAAAGATACCGCGGTAAGGTCAGAACGTCGCGCCAGCCAGCCAGCAGAATTCTAAAAAGTGGTAGTGCTTACTGTGCGGAGAGGTGGGGTGGAGTGGGTGATGGGGTTGGGTCATATTTCCTGGGGCGGCCGCGGGACAGATGCCGCCGCTTTACGAACTCGGCGTCGTCCACCATCCAGAATGACCCGAAGTCGTCCTCATAGCGCACAAAACACTTGTGCAATGATAGATTGGTGCGGATCGCGTTCTGTATACACAGACAAGACCACCAAGAAATAGAGAAAAAGAGAGTAAAAAAGATAAAGGTTGTTTCTGCTTGTTGTCGTTGAAATTTCTTTAGCTTTTAAAACTGTTTTTTTTTTTGTTTGCTTTGTTGCTGTTTCGTTTGATTTTTTTTTTTTCTTTTCGTCGTATTGGGGGGTGTTTTTTTTCTTAGTTTCTCTTTCGGTTCTCAACGCTCTATCCATCGTATTGCGTCCGTGGCTCGCCGGAGGATCGCGCTCCGGCAACGCCCCCCGTGTGTGCCTTCGTCGTCGTCGTCGGTCGTCGTGCGTCCTCTCCTACCCGGAGGAACTCGACGTCGAGCGACGCCGCGCAGTCGTATTTCCGACGTTCCAAAAGTATAATAACAAAGACAGCACAGACTCGCAAAAAATAGAAGGGGTAAGAGAGAGACAGAGAAAAGAGAGTGAACCAAAAAAAAAAATATACTTTTCTTTTTTGTAAAAGTAAATACGCAGTAAGGCGAGACTGCTCCTCTCACTACCTGACCAAAGTGCAATTCTGCGGTTCTCGGCCTGCACTGGGGCGCATCCCGCATCCGGCTCCCGGGTATTCGAGACTAGACTCGGGCCAGAGACATTGGCCCTGCCAATTCCCGATCGGTTAGTCGCTGCAAAGCCCACATGCTTGTTAAAAAGCACACACCACGGTTTTACTACGGTTTTCTTCCACACGAGCAAACCGGCGGCTCCCTTCTCGCAATCATTCCCAGCCTCCTCTCCTCGTCGAACCTCATGATCATCGACACCCACACGCGGCCCAGTCACGCACCACAAACTGACGGCTACCATCGCACACGAGACGGGCAAGTATAAAAATGTTCACACGCACACGGGACCAAACACAATACTAAGCCAGCTTCCCGGGTACAATTCCATAACGGACTCTTGGAGAACATGAAAATCTCGAAAACCACGTTTTCACGGAAGATGTACGGGATGATCGCGGTACTATCGGAAAGTTGGTGATTCTACGCGTCGAAAACGTAGAACGTAATACCATCGTACGGTGCTTCGTTTCCCAGATAATTGAATTTGAAAATTCGTCCGACCATCGGTCGACATTTCTACTTGCGGACGCGCCCCACGAACACTCGAAGTCGATTTCTCTCGGAACGAAGTCTCGTACGAAAGAAATTTATTCTACGTTTTAGACTTCCTTTTTCGCGTAGAATCACCCTCGTTCTTGGTTGTACCGTGATTATTGGGAACACTGTGTTCGATGTATTAATAATCGGAACGGAGAAAAAATAGACTTGGTCGACTCGGAAGAAGTTTCTCTGGAGAATGATCTGCTAACGAGGATCGCGTTGTCTTATTCATACTGTCTGAGACACCTCGAGCGTGTTAGAAACATTCTGTTATTTCCGTACGATCTAATTTTATCGGACGTATACCAATAATCTGATAATTTTTATTCCAAATTATCGTGTGCAGGTGTTTAAGATTCTAATGGAGTATTAATATGGTATTTGATTGGGTTTGCATATATTCAACGCGATATTTAGTATTTATTAACGGTACCCTTCACATTTATAGGAAATAGAAACATTAATTTGATAATCTTCAGACAGAAAATCAATTAAAACTCATGATTGAGGCTGACCGACAAACATAAAAGCAGTTTTGGAAATTACCACCTCGAACTACAATAAAGGCAGTAAAATAGTGCATAATCGATTGAAATTAAAGTTTGAAACTACAGAGACAAAAAATCAAAATCAGAATAGAATTTTTCCCCTCCATTCCGATTAGAAACAATCGGCAAATTTCATTCGCGAATACCGAATAAAAATTTCCAGATTCATTCGCGGACTTCTAAATTATTTTAGCTGACGAATAAACCTGACATTTTTATTCGTTATTCGCGAACAAAATTCGTCCAAACTTTGGCTTTGTTTAAGAGACGAGGGAACGTGGTTTTCCCGACACGCAATGGCGTAGAAAAGACTAGGAACGTTCGCGAATTGTAACGCGGGAAGCTCGGTGTTAGCAGACAGACGTTTTACAGACAAACGACGCAAGCAATCGACAATACAGATTATTACGGCGAGACAGGTGTATGAGAAAAAAAAAAAAATAGTAACGTTTTATATACACACACACGCGCACAAATCTATACGTATGAATGCGCACGCATAAGATACACAAAAGGGTATATAGAAACATATAGATATGTATATATATTAAGAGAAAAAAATAAAACAACTAAAGTGAGGGGTCAGGGTCACGATGTAGGGTCTATTCGAGAGAAACACATCGTAATAGATAATAGAACAAATGAATGCACAGTGGAACGTGCGTGTATGTGCGTATACATACATACGAGGCTTGCACACGCACGCGCGATGCGCGCGCACACATAGTAAACCTTATGAATAGACATACATATGTATAATAAGTAGCTATGAAAAATACGTGAATATAGAAAAAAGCTATATATATAAATGTATACGTATAAAAAATAGAAATATTAAACACTATTGAGAATATATATATATAAGCATTAATATACATAGAAAAATGTATATATAAGTATTAATATATAAAGGAAAAAAAATTGTAAAAGTATGTAAAAATGTTGCTATATATATATACATATAAAAGATTGTAAAAAATTGGCAGTTTAAATATGAAGGGAGTCGGGGGGTTAGCGGTACGAGTATGTAACAAGAGTAAAAGCGATTAAAGTGAGTATGTAAAATACATATATATATATATATTATATATATATATAAATATCTATAAATATGTAAAAAAGACATAGATAGAAAGAGAAGAAATATATAGAAATATTAAAAAACAAGGATCTCGTTGGCGTGGAGGGGAATGAGGGAGAATGAGTAACGGGAGGCGACCGAGGGCCGATAATTTTCTGAGGGTACACGGTATTATCCGTTCTCAAGGGGGTGGGCCAGGAAGATATTACGTGATATCAAAGAGAAAAATAGATAGATATAATATCTATAATATAATGGAGTGAGAAAGAGTAAAAATACGCGGTTGTAATTTTGTTTTGATTGTCGGTGGGACGAGGGGGGCGGGGCAACGTACCCGGTCGTGCTGCAAGCGCGTTGAGGACGTCTCTTGTAAAACTCCACTTCGTCCACCGTCCATACGGCGCCTTTCACGTTTTCGACTCGCATGAAACATTTGTGGAGAGACAGGTTGTGTCGCACTGCGTTCTATACAAAATAATACACAGACTAAATAAGCAACGCAAAAAACGAACGAAGCCAACTCAATCGCGAGGCCGGCTGTCGATCGGGGCACGGGTTCGATGGCGTGTTTTACAGGCGGTGTCGTCCCCGACATCCGATACACGACGATCGTGATGATGATGATGATGATAATGATGGTCCGATACGCACACGCCGTAACAGGCGCGGGCGGTGGATGATCCGTTTCTCTCGAGGAGCCGTCGAGAGCATGGACAAGGTTCACAGGGGATGCAACCGATTCGATTTTGTATTTTTTTTTTGTATTCCGTTTCCCCTTTCCTCCCCGTTTAGACAAGCTCTGTATATCGTGTGTTTTGTGGAAGGAGATATGTCTTTGTCGGGGAGCCGCCACCCCCTGTTCGCGCGAGACACGCGAGCTCCTTTTCTATCGTCGAGGTGACGGCCCCCGCGACTGTTTCTGAAACCTACTCGACGAGTCGGTCAGAGAGGAACAAGAAAGCTGAACGACCCGACGCAGCTGATGAAGAATAAAATTAGTACGTCGTGCGAGAGCAGAAAGGATACCCGGCGATGGTCGCGCAATGACAAGGCCGTAAGAGGACATAACGAACCAAAACGATTAATCGAAAGATACACGGTATGTGGCATTCCTTTATCGTTAATGCACAGCTAGTCATCTAAGTCTAGGGGCAACGACAACAATTATACATGCCGCAGGGCCGTACAAAATTCCAAAAGAAGGAGAAGTAAAATATATAAATAAAAAAAAAAAAAAATAAAAACAGAAATCAGAAAAAAATTCAACGACGACGTTGCTCGATGGCCGCCATTCCCCGTCCGCCCCCAACCAGTAACCGTGGATCGCCGTGTGACGGAGCCTTGTGGTCGTTCTTGGTCGCACGGTAGTCGAACCTGTATGTTTTTTTTTTTTCTGCATTGAAAATTTTCTTAGATACACATAACCATGCGAGGCGAAGCGTCATGGCAAACGTCGATTACTTCCACGCTCACTCGCACACACGCAGAACACACGCGCGCGCGCACTCTTGCCAACAAGCGGATCGTCGAGGATCGCATTGCGACTCGATCATGGTCGAAGCGCAAACTAACTAACGAGCAAAACGTATCGTACTTCGTCGAGCCTCGTACAAGCTTCGTTTTAGTGAAACATACGCCGTAGATCGTTTGTGAAATAAAATTTGCAAAATGCAAGCTCTTAGATGCTAGCTGACGGGTGGACGCCGCGACGCGAACGACCGTTCTACGATGGCGTCGGACTCGAAACGTGGAAAAATAGTTTGCTAGTAACGAAGTGGTTCTTTGTGTAAAAAGTAAATCAAAAACGTGCAATAAAAATTTTCCACTGGAAGCTTCATTTTCGAGAAAATCAATTTTTAAGTTCCTTGAGTATGTACAATTGATGAAGGTTTATGGAATGATGTTTTGGATAATTGTTACCGTTTATAGATAATTAAGTTTGTTTCAATTTTATCAGAGTACGAAATACAATTGAATAATAATTTTATCAACTTTTGAAGATATACAGGGTGTTCGGCCATCCTTGGGAAAAATTGTAATGGGTGATTCTAGAGGCCAAAATAGGACGAAAATCAAGAATACAAATTTTTTAATGGAGGCTTCGTTAAAAAATTATTAACGTTTAAAGTTTCGCCCGTACTGAATTTTTTTCTCGAAAATGTGCAGGATTTCGGAAGAATGACTATTTACTAAAAATGATTGTAATTAACCCCCATAACCGAAAATAATTTTTCCAGAATGATTTGAAATTTTTTTTTTGTCGAAAAATTTAGGCACCTACACCCTTAAAAATTCGTTCTTCATTTTTAATAAATTTGTTTGACGTCCTACAGGAAAGTTGTCTAATACTTTTTTGCGGGTATCCATGGTCTTTACTTCAGAAAAAAGTTTCATTGAAATACATTCACTACTGTAGAAGTTATGGCTGTTTGAATATTGGACCATGTTTATGGGGTTTTTCTCATTTTTCGAGGTCAAGGATCAACTTTTCGAATATTTTTGGACTTTCTACATATTCTACACTAGAATACGCGTCGTTTGCCTTTTTAAACATTAAAATCCTCCAATCCGTTCAGAAGTTATGATATTTTAAACATATGCATGAAATTTCAGTGAAACCTATCAATGTATGGTCAGACATTATATTTTCGGTAAGGAATTTTTTTCTTGAAAGTGGATAGGATTTCGGGGGTATGTCTATTGACCAAAATTGATTGTAATTGACCCCTGCATCCAAAAATAATTTTTTCAGAAAGATTTGAAATTTTTTAATTTAATTTTTTAATAACTTTTCAACGAAGCCTGAGTCAAGAAATTGATATTCTTGATTTTAGTCTTATTTTGGCCTCTATAATCTCCCATTAAAAATTTTCTCAGGGTTGGCTGAACACCCTGTATAAACAATCACAAGAATGATCTAAAAAGTGTCGTTTGGCAAATTGAGCCATAGTTTTAACGTTCGAGCGATGAATTTATAGAATAAATTTTTTCAAAAGTGAAGCTTCGCATGGCAAAATTTTATTCCAAGTTTTCGATCCGGATTTCGCACGAAGAATCGTCTCTTTTTTTTATTGTACCACTGTTTCCGTTGTACCCTGCATAGTCTGGGGATTCTCCTACTATGCCGTTTTGATTATGCTGCTCTGACTTTCGTTGGTTCATGCAAATCTGCAGGCGCACGCTCCTAACCTCTCAAACAAAAGAGCAAGCTGGCATGGCGTAAAAGTAGAAGCGGTGCCTGGTATGATTCGCAGTTGGCCAAATGGCCTTGAGCACTCAGTTCATTTCGTTCCGACTATATCTTTATAAACCTTTTCTTTCCGTATTTTTTGGTTACAGCGACGATTGAAATGCATTTGAAAGGAGTATGACAGAAAATAATCAAAATCCGGGTGCCCCTGACATCTAAAACATTCATAAATTATAGTTCCATAATCTCTAAAACACTGTAAAAACACAATTTACGCTGCATGGTAGCATGGGAAATTTTTTAAAAGAATCGATGAAAAAGATTCTTAAGAAGCAAAAATTCCTTTACTTGCAGGAACTTCCCAAAAATGATTTTACGGAGAAACGATAATGAAACATAGAAATCAAAATTTTCCACGTTAAACAAATTCTATTTTGCCATTTCTTCGAATAAATACATTGTTACAAATGCTTTCAAATTCATACAAACATAAATATCGACTATTGGATATAAAATAGCTGAAAATTTTTAGTGTTTTCGCAATATCTTAAAGCCTACAGAGCTATAATCGATCAACGTTTTAGCGTCCAATCGATTCACAGAATTTGACCATTTCTCTTCCCCCTTTAAAGTAATTTTAAACACAATGCACGTCGATTGTTCTACGTTTAAAGCCCGATTCCGTCCGAAACGCGTACGTTCGAGTCCTGACTTCCTCCCAGGAAGAAACGATATAACACAGTTCGTTTGACACGTGAATAGAATGGACGGCAGTCGTGATGGATACTCCACGAATGAATCGTAATGCGGCGTAATAGTCCACACGTTACCGGTGCTTCCCCGTTTAATCGGGAAAGCAACAAAATAATCGTTACCAGCTCGTCCGCTAGGCGGCACCACTCAGCTTGTTAATTCAAATTAATACGTAAGATTATCTGTGATTCTTGAAAGCTCATCCTTTCTAGTTAAACGCATTCGGCTTAATCTGCTCGTAAATGCAAATTGCAACGACCAGTCGTTCCGTCTTTGTGACTTGCAATCAAACGTTGCGTAACTTCGTGCCACGGTGAGTTCATCCATTTAGAGGAGAATTATTTCCAGGGCTTCCTGGACGCGCGTTAACGCGACAAAATTTTCGGCCCGACGTTTCGCCGTGGCCGTGGATCCGCGCGTCGTCTTCTCGTCCGCCGTAAATTATTCACGCTTCTCTCGACTCGGAAGCGTCGTTCTCTCGCGTCGTGTGAATCGTTCGACGAACCGTTAATTCGAAAAGGATTCTCTAGCTGCCAAAAAATGGTGTCCGCTGCGCGATCGCAAAGCGATTGCAAAAAAGCTGTTTCTCTCAGAGCGAACTTTCAAAATCTCGCGATCGTCGCGATCTCGCGATCTCCTGGAACGCTGAAACGCTAATAAATTACTGTAATCAAGATTGATATACCTTCCACGTTGCCGCGTTGCGCCGGAAGTAGCAGAACGTGTTCTGGAACCAATTGTAGATCTCGTTCAGCGTCAGCTGCTTCTCCGGCGACTCGATGATCGACTGCGGAACAGAAAAGAAACGAGTATGCAACCTGGTGATCGTTTCGACGCGGACTTCCTGCACGACGAGGAAGATCATTAATCCTCACCGGTGTATTCCGCTTGGTAAATTAAATTGATCGAAAAGTCACGTTATTTGTTGGACGATTCATTCGCGGACCGAGTAATTCAGAGCGCGGAATGAACGGTCGCGTATCGAACGGATCACTCACCTGTCGGATTAACGATGCATACGTGAATGGCGGTCTGACGTCGGCGTTCTTGTAAAATTCCCTATTTCGTTGAATCTCTGAAATGTCAACAAGCCACGTTTGTTCTATTCTCCGAAAAAGAAATAGTGCGGCGGCGAGTATTGGCTCGCGATACTCTTACTCTGTCGAGGGGTAAGTATATCGGGTACCATCTCTTTGTGCGCGTGGATGTCTGTTTTGGTGGGTTTCACGACAAACAAGCAAACATTCTAGAGGCGTGACATGAGTTAAGCCCTTCGGGAGTCACTTCAGGATCGGCGATGCATAGAGTTTCGTTAAGTTATTGGAACGTGACCTGGAACTTTTTCATCCGTGAACAGTGAACGCGGGTGAACGAAAAAATTGTTTATCGCATGCTCGGTTGGGAGAGGGGGAAAAACAGATACACAGATCCGGACACTATGCGAGCGACATCCTTAAAAACTAGGGGAAAAAGGTAAGCAGAAAGCGATTTGGGGACGTCGGGACGAGTTCATCCCTCGTTACGTGGCGATCGCGAACGACAGAAGAAAGGTTAACTTCGCGAGGATGAAGGGAGGGTATCAGAGTGAGAAAGGTAAAGTACTCCAGCATGCAAGGGTGCACCCTTTAAGAAAATCCTTAAAGCCACCAAAGGAGCGTGGAAAGAAGGTTGACAGTACCTTGTTGGACGTCAAGGCCAGCACGCTCCAGCATGTAGGGCAGCCCTACACGGTGGGGAGGGCGGGCAGCACAAGAAATAAGGAAACAACAGAAGCATCGGTAAGAAAGAGGTTCGAACAAACATACGTTTAAAATTCATCATTTCTACGGTATTTCTTTTTTTGTTTTTTTTTTTTTTTGTTCTTTTTAGTCGTTCTTCTCTTTTTCGTTAATTTCGTTGTACCTTTTGCTCTCTACCTAGGTTTATTTTTGTCCTACGCCGCCAACAAGGTGTCGAACACTGTAGCTTACGTGACATTTTCGCTACCGTGAATAAATCCGTGCGTGTGGTAGAGTTTACGATAGGAAAAAAGGCACGAGATCCAGAGAGGACCGTAAAGAGCATTTGCTACAGGATTTTCTTTTGTCGTCGGGGCGCAGCTGACGAAGACGAGCCGTGAAATGCCGGTTTTCGTTTCGTCGATCGCAGAGCATAAATTCACCATAACGTATCGGTGAAATTATGTTATCGCTTGCGCAATATCGTGAATTTTTCTTTGTATTTGACAAGCAACGCGGCATTTCGCGGATCGCGCGTCTCCCCGACTGAATTTTGGTTTAATCGTTACCTTCGTTAATATCTATTCCAGATCTATCGACGGCTACTCTGCGCCTTACAGTGCCCTCGTCATACAGTCCTACGAATAGTATTCAATTTCTGAATTCACATAGTCTTTCGTTTCACCTCTCTCGAGACGATTTTAACCCATTTTTACTCTCGTCTCGTATTCAGTACAAAACGTTCGAAATAACAGTTATAGAAAAGAATTACTCGAAAGATAAAGTCAGAAGATATCAATTTTGTTCGCTGACCATTATCGAAACAGTGTAACAACTTTCATAATTCGTTCTCAGCCTTAATTAACCCCTTGACGTACGATTTAATTTCAAATAATTTTTCAAACGTGTACTATTTAATTTTGTTCAAATTCGTACAAGAAATGTTGATTTTAATAGATAAGACTCGATGACGAGCAAGTAGTCTCAAGAACAAGAGTCAGACGCGTCATTGTATGGCAAGGGGCTAAACGTTCACCGATCTATCTATGAAAGCATGCACATCGTTCACGAGGCGAACTATTACTAACAAACTGTTACTTCGAACCGTGTTTCCCTTAGTGCAGGTAAAACGGAAGAGCTTTGGCGCGAAATTTGAAACCAAAGATCGTCGAGTATATTTCGTAATGCCTGACAAACCCTGAACGAACCGTGGTCAGAAATAAACGGAAGAAGGTATTTCTCGCGATGGAAAGAAATGGTAAAGGCTTACCTCCTGCCAACGAAAGCGCGGACTTGTCGCTGATGCGCCGCCTGATGGGCCCAGCCATGCTGGGCATTGTCGGCATGGTGGGGATGCTGCCCGGCATGTTCGGCAGCGGGGGCATCCCGGACATGTTCGACATGTTGGGAATTGGCGGCATGGGGGCGCCACCGGCCGAGGAGGGCAACTGTCCGCCCACCGGCGACCTCACCGCGGACACCAACGCGGACATCGAGACCGGGGACACCTGGGAGACGCCGAAATTCGGGGGTGGCTGGCTCATCAGGGCGGTGGAGAGATTCAACTTTGGTATACTCGAGCCCGTCTGCAAGAAGCAATGCGGTGTTCGGAGAAACACCTTCGCCATTATTTGCACGATTGCGGAATCTTCGACTTGTTTTATTGGCAAGCTTCGACCAGCCAGCTAACAACCCTTAACGCTCAATTATTTACAGTCCAGAGTGATACAATATTTTTTAAACAAGTTTAGACTATACTGATGATGCTACACTAATAATCATAATAATAGAAATAAAAAAACTGAAGATTATAACAAAAGAAGAAATAAGACTGAGGATGATGCACTTTTGCAAAAATGATGGAAGATTATACTAATGGTGCTACAGTAATACTAATAATAGAAACCACAAAATTAAAAATTATAAGAAAAGAAGATACAAGAAATAAGACCATGGATATCATTCAAGAACTGAAGAATAAGTTAAATGATTGCAACAACTGTGAATATTATCCTTGTTCATTCATTCAACGTACAACAAATAGTATTGAAAGAAGGTAATGCATATGTTTTAGTATAACGTATCATTGCTTTCAAAATGGACGTTTTCATGAGCGTTAAGGGGTTATGGGGGTACAGCACCCAGACCTGAGGTAATTAATTTAGTAGTATAACAGCTGATGACATTATATAAATCTGCAATTTTGAAAGTTACGGTAATAAATCTTGCACGACAATAAAGGTGAGATTTTATTTAACTTGAGCTGTGAAAATCTCGTTGTACTATTTAGCAATTACCTCGGGAAACAAACTTTAAGGTCGCCTGTTTTTATAAACCGTCTTGGGTGATGTACCCCCTCAAATTTTTCATTATTTTTTAGATAAGAATTTGACTTTTGACCCTTTGCGCACGGGACAAATAATCTACAGGTAATTACCTGCATTTTCAAGTGTTTTGGAAAGGGAATAAAGAAGTATAACACAACCATAGCTTCAAATGTTATTAAACGTAGCATAATCTATACTACCAAAGACACTTCACCATTCTACACTGTAAATAATTTAAAAACATTCCGAAACGATGCACGTTCCAAAACACATTCTAAATGTTTCGTAACGTAAATCATGCCGCGTTTAACGACATTTTCGAGGCACACTGTTACTGTCAAATTGTATAATTTATTACATGTTACTGGCATACGAAATGTTTGCGGTTTAAATATTTCCGCAGCTAATAGCACATTACGAGAAAACGATGTTTATAATAAAACAGAGAGAAAAATCAACGCGAAAGAAACGTTCACGAAAACAGTATACATTAGAAATGAATAATCTTCCACGGTGGAACTCGAAATTAGGTAACACTGTTGTATAAAATTACACGTTTTCAAAGCATCGACTGTCGATTATAATCTTTGGATCAAATAATATCGATGTTCCACCCTCCCAATAAAATTTCCCATAATTTTTCCGCGTTTTCGGATCAGTTGCAAACCGGTGAAATTTTTATTAATGAGTATAATAAGTTACGTTTAAATATTCATACGGCGCGCATCGGATATCGCAGTGAAACGGTCTCAATATCAGAGATGATCCTTCGCGGCGAGGACCCCTCCCCATTCGCGTTAAAATAATTAAGTCGGCCAGGGAGGACGACCGACGTCGCGCGGAGGGCTAATGCGATATTGGTATTCTCCGACTGCTGGACTTGTTAGAGGTTTTAATTAAGGCGATATAAAATCAACGAGAACCCGATGAATTATTAATGCAAACTTTATGTATAAATTAGCGAGTCTACTCGACGGCGCGTTAAAACTGAAACTGGCGTTGTTGTTAGCCACGTTGAAACTCGTAAAATTTCCTCCGCCCCCTTCTCCCCCGCCCCCTGGGTCGCGTCGTGGAAATCTGGCTTTACGACTCTCTCGGTCGTGCTCGTACCAGAAGAGTTTACATCGCGACACGATCGTACGGATCGTTTTTCCGGGGACTCTGGCACCCCTCTGCCGCGGAAACATTCGACGAGAGACCGCCAAGTATCCGCTGTACGATTATTGCACCCATATATCTCGCCTGCACGACGCGTGACATACTGTTTTCCGCGAATAACTTCCGATCGAGCAATTTCTGACGGCTCCCATAACGCTGGGAGCATATCTACTCTGAGAACGACCGAATTAGTTCGGTTTAATTTTATCGATCTCGAATCCCTGCAGCGAGAAACTTGTTAATTCTTTTTTGATTTCAGAGGCACCTTGTTCTTAGTCACGATGGTCTGAAGAGCAACGATTCTTGGCCAGAAGTCGAGCTTCTGAAAATGTTCCTTTTAAATGATCATTGTGACTCTATCTCAGCTACCGATAGAAAGTTCTATCGTAGAAACGATACGAATTGCCTTTCAGACCACTCTGTTTCACGAAGTTTCTGACTTCAAACTTGACATCAGCGATTTTGGAAACCCTTAATTATCAAGTTTCAGAAAGAAATGACCAGTTTGTTTAGGTAGAATAGGAGTTCAAAGGCGAAAACACTGAAAATGTGTGGTCCTGAGATTAGAGTAGCCATTTATAACAGTGGTATCTTTAAATGCTGGCCACCGAGTGTCCCGTCAGAAAGGGTCGCGAGTAGGCAAATCAGGTCCTGTCTCTAATCGTAGTGTCGAAAACTCACCGACGACTCGGACGACTTTGGTGGTTCCGGGGACGCCATTTGTTTCGCCACGTGCAGGTGGTGCATCATGGCGGTTAGCCGGTCCCGTTCCTTTTGCAATTGAATCTCCAGCTGGGAGACCACTTGCATCTGAACTCGTGCCTGCGCCGTCGATCTATCGTCCAGCGTGTGCTCCGTGTTCAAGTGCCTGCAACATCATTTCGTGTTCCACCGGCACTTAATACCACAGTACACTATCCGCGAGAAGATTTAGTTTACAGGCATCAAACGTAATCAAATGGTGTCAAACAGTACCCCTTTGGCTCCTGTGACGTATCAACTGATATCTCGGTAACACACTATTCGCGAGAAAATATAGTTTATAGGCATCAAACGTTATCAAACGGTATCAAACAGTACAAAGGGTCTCAATTTCCAAGCGCAAACACAGTCGTTTGATGTTTATTTGAACGAGTAGGCGTTAAATTGAAGTTTAAGTCGCCTTAAATGCATTTAGTATTATTTCCAATGCAGATGGAATGTTTGAAAGAGTTTGACGATCACTAATTCGACGAAAGGACGCTTGCAACATTTGGAACATTTCTTATAACCGACACAACAAATAATAAATATCTTTTCAATAAATTATATGAACTTTTTTTATTCATTTAACCTCAGTAATGTGTAGCCATAAGTTTGATCCCATCCTGTTTGACAAATATTCGAATTCAGAAAAATGCACTTAAAATCCTTTTATAAGAATCTGTAACGCATGGATTTCAGATTTCTTGCTTCCGTCCGTTCCGGAGACGCAAACGGAATTACGTTGGGCCCCTTTGGGGTGGCGTTTATCGCCGGAATCAAAGCTACACGATATTACGGGCGAAGCGTTTGTCACCCAAACCGTGGACCACCGAAAGAATCGAGGGGGGGTGCCAACAAGATTCCGTATTTAAGAATTTCCGTAATCCTTCTTCGTTGCCGGGACGGAGCTGCTCGTTGTATCGCCAGGGGTGAAAGAGGGTGAAGAAAGCACGGAGGGAGGGCTGGTTAAGACCAAGAATGCGGGAATGTCTACGGGGCCGAAGGAAGAAGGGGCCACGGGGAAGGGGATTAGGACCGTGAGGCATAACGATGCGGTCGAATGTCGTGAATATTAATGAGACAAAGGTAATTAGCGTTTTCCTTTTTTTTTTCCGTTCCTTTTTTAAGTAACGGCTTGTTTGAGGGAGTTTGCGGCGACTGTCTGCGTGATTACTAAGGGACGAGCAAACGGGGGTTTGAGGGGGGGGACGAAGCTTTGGCAGGTTTGAAACCGATGGCGAAGGTGCCGGATGTCAATGCGATACGCTGACTTCGGCGATTTTTCTACGCTTCTTTTCCCCCCCCGTCCCCTTTCTCAACCCCCCGGTGCCTTTCTAACTCATTCCACGGGAACGAAATTGCCGACTTTATTCTTCCCGTTTCTACTCTTTCCACCGTTCCAAGGATCCCGACCGTGCACGACGGATTTACCTACATTCCGGTTGCACATCCGAGAACCCGAGCCACCGGGATCAGATTAAAAGTGCACCGTGACTATGATTTAATCGCGCCGCCCTGTCAAACCTCCGAGGCTCGGGCTCTTCGACGCAGATTATTAAAACAATTAAATATATTATCCTGCAAAATACCATTTTGATTGCCAGGATCACTTATTTTCATTAAAATTCTTATTTTTAAATTCTCGAAGCTATTTAAATTTTAATGGAGATACTTTTTGACTTTTCGACATCCACTTGGAAAGGGTGGACAAAATTCCGAGGACCGTTTCGGAAATGCATAAACATATTTAAAGGGAATCTACACAATAAAGGGAATTAAAAACGTTGGATTATTCCAACTTCGCGAAAAAAGGTTTTGGAATAATTTTCCCCGAGATCGTTTTAAAAGTTGAATGCCCTCCATTTTTAGGTTAGAAGGTTCGTTTGCAGTAGGAAGCGAGCAAGATCGTCAAGCTAGATTTAGTCCAAGAAATATTTCAAACTCGCAAATCGGCTTCCAAAAGTTTAAAAAATTCAAACATTACATTCCCGTTCGCAACCAAGCAGTTTAATACAATTTAAAATCTGTTTTTGTTACGATCTAAAACTGTCCAGCGTTCAGAATTGTTTTAAAATAAAAAAAAATCCGCGAGAGGGTTGATTCCAAAATGGCGGTCGAATGAATATTTCAGCGAGCAACCTCGAGACGCAAGTTTAGGAACACGGTCGAAACAAAATGGACTCACTTAAGGAATGCTTGATAGTCTTCACAAATAACTTCACAGCCCGGCCACTTGCAGACCCCATGGCCGTAGAGAGGGTGAGCCTTGTCGTTCGAGGAAACGTCCAACGGTTTCTCGTCCAGCGGCGTGGTGCCGTTCATCTCCGACCGCCGACTCGACACTGTCGAATTCAGAAGTCCTGCGATAGTCCGGAAACGTGCGTCGTATTTGCAACGTAATGTGAAAATAAAAATAGAGCGCGGGAAAGAGAACGAAAGTATAAACGTGAACGTAGAGGGGGATTCGACCGATGGAGAAATTCTCTTTACCGTTCAGTCCGGACCCGGATTTCGGAACGTTGGAGTTCTGGTGGGATTCCGGGACGTCTGGCGTCTCTGACTTCCATATCGGCAGACCCTCCCCCGGTTGCAGACCTGTTCACCATTTTAGTCATTAGTTTCAGTTCAGAATGTACAACAAAGTTAACACATTAGCGACGAGAAACGAGTGTTCTGTTTTTCTAGTAATTTCTCCAATAACACAGGAAAAAAGATTCTATTAGCCACATATAACTTCTGGAAATTTCAATGAAATATACAAAAATAGTTATCATGTTTTTAGTATGCAGATGTTGAAGGAATATCATTAAAATCACCTGTGTGGAAAACTTTTAATAAAAATGCCCCGTCGTTAATGTGTTAACAGGCACGATTTATTACTATGTACAGTTTCAATTGTTATAACTAGACTGTGGATGTTTATGCGTTTAATTCTCAAAAAACTACAGAATACACTTAATATACAAAAATATGAACAATTATATTTAGGAGACAACTCCTTACGAAGCTCCCATTTCATTAATTCCGCAATCTAGTTATAAGATATAAGATAACGTATCGATAAATACATTTTGTGGATTTTTAGTAATATGTATTATATTGTTACGAAAGGGATTATTTACAGTCGATATCTTTGATGATTTAAAATTAGTATAAAGACACCTTCGGTGGAGGATTAAAAGAGAAAACGGGTGACGAAGAGGGGGTGGAGGATCAAACGGTGGGAAACGATGGGCAAGTTTGTTTCACGCGTGAATTTTTGAATTCAAAGTACTCGAGGCGTGAGTCCCTGCTGCTTTTGCAGCCCCGTCCTATTATTCCGCCCCTGCCTCCGCAACCCCGTGCACGCGCGTCAGAAAGAAAAACATCGTCGGAACGAGATCCGACGCAACCGAAACACTTCTACGTGGAAAGTTTCGCCCAGGGTGAAGTGGAAAATGAGAAAGTGGCAGGGTGGAGATCGCTCGAGAAGAAAGGGGGATGGGGGTGCACGAGAATGGGGACGACGGTTAGGGGTGCCGACTTGTTGTTTAAATCAGGGGGTCGCCCCCAACATCAACTTACCTTGGGAATTACGCGCGCGCGCGCGCACCTCTATTGACCATAGCACGTGTAATAATATAACATATTTCGTGTTGGAATAAATTCTTCGTTTATGAAATTCTATTCTAACTAAATCTGAGAAACTGGTAATAAATTCTAAATGTGCAATTTTTGTACTATTGAGGTCGATTTTATTGTCCCGGAAGCATAGTTTCAAATTTTCTTAAGTCGTTCAGAGAAAATTATGCTAAAGAATGTTGAAAGATGCTAAAAATTCGCTTACAAAATTAATGAAATTAAACAGTGGAAAATGCTATTTTGAAGTGTTGCAATTACAGTTTTTGTTAAATTGCATTAATTTCTTCTCGATTTTCGAAGTTGATAGGGATTTAGAAAACAATACAAATTCAGTAATAGATACGAAGGAATTGATTTTTAGATTGGTGCATTATACTATTTTTATATGCAAAAAGAACATAGACAAATTAAAGATTGACCATACCAGAATACTATAGCATCTGCAAAATGTCAAATTTAAAAAAATGAAGCCGATAAACAGTTTTCAAACCCTGCTGCAACCATCTAGACATTAATAGACAAAAATTTCACCGATGAAGAAGATCCAGACTTCCATCGAATATAAAATTTAAATGCTTAAAAAACTGCTATTTATGGTATTCTTAGACGTTGATAAAAATGTATTCCAGCAGATGGTAATTAGTCTACTTGATACAAATTTGTATTTTAGAAGTAAATAGATTTAATTTTACTTCGTAAAAACAAACCGGTCGAAAACGAAAGAAGTACCTGAAGAAGGATTGTGACCCTGAAGTCCCAGACCCTGTTGGATGAGATACTGGCTCTGCCTGATCTGCAGTTGTTGTATCAAACGTTGCTGCTGGAGTACCAGTTGCTGAAGGGGGGCGGAGGCCTTCTTCTTGTCGGCCGTTTGCAACAGATGCGTCTGCTGAATCACGTTCAGCTGCAATTGTTCCTGTAGCTGCTGTATCGCCTGCTCCAGCTTCTTCATGCCTAGCTCCGCGAACTGTTGTTGATGCTGCGCAAAATCGGTCGAACCGAACCGACCGGTCAAAGAAAGGAAAAGAGAAACAAACGACGAGACGCCTCCCGCCCTAATGCCCGACAGCCATTCGTCCGGAAGACAAACATCTCTCGGTCTCGAGCAAATTAGAACATCGGGGAAAAGAAAGAAAGTTCCAGAGTAACGTAGAGACGGAGGGAGGTGAGACAGTTGCATCTTGGCGCTGGCGAATAAATCGCAGACACAGATAATTCGCTGGAAAGGCGGGAAGAAGACAGAGGGCAGTTGATGGGGTATCCCGAAGACAAACAACGAGATACAACGGCCGATGGCGACGCTTAATTGCTTACCTCATCCTCGGAGGAACCCCCTTGCCGCCCTCCTCGTCCCGTTTTCTCCGAGCCTCGAGGATATTTTAAAACAAACTCCGAGATAGACGCCCTTTATCATATCGCGCTACGAACGAGAGTCGCTCGAGTAATGAGCCCCGAACCGACGCTAATAACAATTTCACGCGAATCGAGGCCTTTTGGGGCCCTGAGCCGAGAAACGGGGCCTCTTTGATAAGAAAATTGGATGACTGTCGAGATATTTAAAAGGGTTCATCAAAAATTAAAATTACTCGAGTAATAATTATTCTTTGTATGTCAGGAGGAATTTAAATTTCCCGCTTTGTAATTTCGAATAGTTCAGATTTGGCCTCGTCTGATTTTAATATAAAATCGTGATATATTTTAGTTACAGAATTACAAAAATCTTGTAACGATTTTACAAGGGACAGCATCGAGATTCAAAAAGTGATTAAATTCATTGGAAAAATTGAAAATAATTTTTCTGTTAGTATTTATGAACGTTTGTTTTGTTATCTGAGAAAACTGGGCCCCTTGAGGAATGGGGCCAGTAGAGTCTTCTAGCCTTCTTGATCGGTTCCTGGCGAAGGATATGTTCTTCGATAGAGGCTCGAGGACAATGGCGTTTCTTCCATGGAAGAATGATAGATTCTCAGTAATTGAGATCATCTTTCGCGCGAGCTCGCAACAATCTCCTCGAGCGGACTGTTCAAATTTGCAGAGCAAAGGAGGCCTGGTCAGGCCATGCCGCTAAATAAATATTTGATGCCTCTATCGAAGCCATCGAGCCTGTGTGCGTAGCGACAATACGTATTTGCGTGAAAATGTCCTTTGTGCTGTTTACGGGTTAAAGTATGCGCGCGGGGAACTTGAACTTTCTGAAAATGTTAGTCTACGGAGGTCTACGGTTGCCCTCGAACGAAGGGCACGGATCTAGAAGAAGTCGAGAAACAAATTTGAGGCTTCGAGGATCCCAGAATCCCACCCTTAGAAATTATGAACAGAGATAGAAATGCTGAAACATTGTATATTACCCCTCTTCGTATTTGTTACTAAATTTCTTTTGGTTTATTTTACATTTAATCAAGATATGAAATTGATGTTTGAATATTTTTGGTACAGATTGTACATTGTAATCGAAGTCGTATCGAAGCTGCAGCCCTGTTTATTCGACTCGAGCAACCCTCTTTGCGCAGCATCGAAATTCCCAGTCCGCTGAACGAATACACGGATTCTCAGGGACTTGGAAAGATCAGTATCGTTTCAGGAAAATTTCTCAATAACGAAACAATTTCACCTTATGAAACTCTACGTGACTCTAGAATATTTCTGATGTCTGATTTAATTTTGTCATTTAGAAATATCAATCAGAAATGGTTGTACATTTGTGTTTGTTATGACTTAGCTTCAATTTATATCCGATATAGAGAAGTCAAATATAATGTGAGCCACAGAGGGTTGCGAAACGATTTAAATAATTGTCGAAAATCGTTATATGTAGAATGTGAAAAGAACGTAGAAGGTGAAAAAGTATCCCTCGGTTCCTGTTATCGTAGAAGAGGTGTTCCAGTGTTTGCACAGTTGCGCCAAAGAATGAGAAAGGGAAGCAGAAAAATGTACCCCGACAAACAGACGCTTTTTATAATTAAAATTATCAATGGTCAACGGAGGGTGATAAAAGGCGGTCTGTTTGCCCGGCGGAGTATCTGAAAGATGTTTAACTATGCCAAGATGCAATGCTTACTCGATAAAAAGGACAAACTTCGCTAATGTACTTTGAAGGACCGGGCACAATAAACGCGGAAGATAGAGCAACGAAACCCGAGATTCCTCCACCCACGTTGCTGGAACTTTCACAATGAGATTCGAAAGAATTGAAATACTCACGTCTTTTAGGGACGAAAAGTAACCGAATCGGTCCTGGTTCGACGCATGTTCCAAGGAGTCCTGTAACAATAGAAAGTAATCGAAGTTGATCGATGCTTCGTGGATTGGAATCGGATAGATACACAATTTCCTATTATATTCTGTTCCAAAATGAACTACGTATACCAATACGTAGCATTAAATAAAATAAAAATAAAATAATTTTCAGGTCTGCTTTGCGCGTCTGCCATTTGCCTCGACATCTGTCCCAGCAATGGCGGGTGAAAATGGCCGCCAGCAAAAGTATAAACACAAAAGGTCGAGCAACAGAGACGTTACCTGATGGTGCTGTTGTTGTTGTTGCTGCAAGTATAGCGTGTGTTGCTGCATGAATGATTGCAGTTGCGTGGGGCTGAGTATGTGCTGTTGCAGTAGCTGTTGCATCTGATGGATGCCGCTCGCCGGGCTGAGCATCATCTGCGAGGGATTCTGAGAGGGTGGTGCCCCTGGCGGTCCTCCGGGAGGAGGACCCTGCGAAGGATTCGGCGGCGAACCCCTCTGAGGGGCCTGTGGGCTCTGATGGGGACTCGGTTGGGGACCAGGCGCCCCGGAACTGGGCTGTTGCGATTGCTGCGTGATGATAGGCTGCTTTTGCTGGGTCATGGGTGCTGTTGTCACTGCGTGCCCAGCGGGACTGAGCTTTCCATTGCTCTGGTACTCGATCGTGAGGTCCTGTTGTTGCTGCTGCTGCTGTTGTTGCTGTTGCTGGTCGACAGCGCCGCCGCAGATCTCGTTGTTCCTGTTGCTCTCACGACCGCGGACCGACAACCGATCTCGTTCCCGATTCTCGCGCTCCCTCGACGGAGGAACGCTGTCGCGTGGTTGCTGTTGCTGCTGCTTCAGGGCTGCAAACAGCGAAGTAGCCTGCAATACGAAAATGGAGATCGAGAGCTCGATCAAAGTCGGTTGCGAGCTGTTGCGTGGTCGTGTGTGCGTGTGGGTCTTCAGGATTTATTATCGCGATAACTCATGCATCGTTCTTTTGCTAGGGGTTGGGGCTGACTTGCACAAAGGCGTTATTATTAGGTCGTCATTTAAATAAATTCATTTTTGACGTTTTCTGATGTAGAATTAAATCGTAATTTAATGTTGAAAAAAGGGGTGAAGGGTTCGTGGAATCGATTCGGATCCGAAATTACCAGCCGCCATTCGGCGGGAGATAAAGGAGTCTCTGTTTTGGCGACACCGTAGCTGCTTGTACAAAGTCGAAACGCGAGATAACAAGGGTGCAAGGGAAGAAGAGAACGAAAAGAGGGAAGAAGGAGCCCCGGGCGGAATATTCATGATATAAATGCCGTGTAATGTGCTCGCGTTAAACTTCCAGCGTATTTTGAGCAATATTGATCTTATCTAATGGTATTCGAGCCCGAGACAACGCGGTATCCTCCGTCGTCGTTCGCCGGATGGAAACCACGCCGATCCGACGACCGAGGAAAACTCACTGTTGTCTGAATGACGTCGACTTCGAGTCTCCTCCTTCGTTGTTTACGCAGCGGGATTTGTTTTATTAAGTTCTATCATCAAGTAGATTGCGGAGTGTAAAGGCGGAACCGAGTAACTCGTTCTTCCGCACTCCGCGGGATCTTCCAGATGGAACAACTTTCCCAAACTATCGAAAGCGTCCCTTATCCTTCGAGACATCCATCGATTTTATTGTATCGCGACCAAATATCTGTCTCGGTTTCTTCAATCCTTACGGACCCTTCGCCTCATTCAAACGGAACATTTAAATTTCTCATGGACAGTTCTTTTAAATGGAACAGAGTATTTCAATTTTTTACAGGTCTCCATGAAACTGTTACAGTTATTCTAGTAAGTGGACTCTCAATTTCAACTAAATTATTCTACTTAATGTTGATTTTTACCAAATTGGTAAATGGAAACACCCTTTCCTTCAAAGCATTTAGAAAATAATGAACTAATGGAGGATTACATAAATTTCCAAATAATTACATTGACATACATTAAACAATTATTAGTTTAAATTTGCAGTCTGACTACTCCACTTAAGGGTTAAGTTGTGTTTTGTTTCTGCTTTCTTCAACCCCTACAATTTTAATGGACAGTTCCTTATAGGATCATCATAGATAGCTGCTTTTAGACCCATTTAAAGGGGGGGAGAATATTTAAATTTTTCATAGTTCTTCCCAGAACTACCATAGGTTTAATTTTCATAGATAATTTTCTGGATGGCTAAATTATTAATTTACTCCTTTTGAAATTGTATTCTACTCTTAGAATAGCACATTGGGTAATTCTGAACACATAAAAGAATTCTATAAAAAGTTCCAGTTTAACAATACATATATGAATGTTTAAAAAAAATGATCGAGAACCTTTTTATTTGCAATTACGTCCAAGTTTAGTAAGCAAAATCGGTGTCTTGCGGGCGTCTTGTTTGCGAGTCGCTGGAGACCTGTTCTCGATTCTGCGAAACGATCAACGACCGCCGTGTCGTAGCTGTTTAGAATGCTCGTTTCGAAACGGCGTTTCCGCGGTGACAATTCCGACGAAACGAACGGGACGCGCGGTGAATCTTCAAAAAACCGCGTCCAGCGATCGAAGGTCGCACGCTGGACCCGCTCGTTTCGTCAGAGATAAATTTAAAACGCGTCCTTTTCCCCCGTCCCTGTCCCGCACGCTCGCGGAAACTCCGTGGACCGCGCGATTGTTCCTCCGGAGCGTGAAAACCGCGCGCCTCTCTGCGAATCTTATGCTAATCTTATTTACGTACGATTACGTATGTTTATAACATGCAAAGAAAGTGCCCCGAGAGGCGAGTGTTATCGGTGTTTAGTCAGGAGCAGCGGCGTTTCGTCTCCGAAGTTCGAAACGGAAAAGGGAAAAAAAACGCCCCGTGGAAAAACACGGGAAAACCCGCTCGCCGTGTTTTCCGAACGACCAAAGTCGCTAAATATACGGGACCTTGTAAAAAATTTCGAAAATATCTTTGTTTTACTGCCTGGACGAAATCACTGTTGACGTCAATAATACGAATCTTTCTGGTCACTTATAAGCTTTGGTTTACGATGGTTCCTCTTAATTTAACTCATTGCACTCCACTGGCGTTGCTATGGCGATATACATATTAGCTAGATGCAAGTTTCATTTGTGATAACACAAATAGAATTTAGGAAATATATGAAGAAAATTTAAATTATACATTTTTGTGGAGAAAAGAATATTTTTTTTGGTTTTAAAAGTCACATACAACTGCATCGATATTTCTAGGTATTAATGTTGATAAAGATTCTCCGAGTGCAAAGGGTTCATATTTATTTTCTTTTCTATCGTTCTTGACGAGTAATCGAATCTTTTACTAATTCAGTCCATTTGTCAGGATCAGCGCTTTTGGATTTACGTCCTGTAAAATGTCTGAAAAGCGTGAACTCCGTACCAAAATTTTCGTCCAACCGCGGACGGAGGAGGTTTCTTATATTCGAAAGAAGCTCCCGGAGGATCGTCTTGGAAAAATACAATAAGGAAACGTCACCGAAGGCACGAGCCCAGCGACAGGGGCCATTTACTCAGCGAAATTAATGGAAAGCAACGATCGGAGGTTTTAATCCACTTTAGCCAGACGCACCAGCCCACGGCTAGATCGCGATCCTTTAATTCGCTAATTAATACCGAGGTCCGCGTCGACTTTATCCCGCCGCGGTCTCCGTGTCTTCCGTTTCAACGGAAGAAACGAAGAATCTTGAACGTCCAAAGCCGCCGTGCCGGCCGAAAGGGGTGGAAAATCGCGAAACGTCGAGAGCGGTTCTGTTCCCCGTCGGTGGTGTGGGGCGGGGGGTGTAACCGACGATGAAGCTCGACGTGTGTACACGACCGGGGCCAAAGGAAAAAAATATAAGGGTACGGAAGAATGAAAGTATAAGAGCCGACGTTGAAGGGCCATCGACTACAGATAAGAGGGACTCCTAAGACTCTTTTAAGAAAAGGTTAAATAAAGGTCGGGGAGCCGCGCTTGTTGTTGGCTGTTCAGATTCCTTCGACCCCTTTTCTCCCCACCCCCCGGTTTCACGTAACGCCACTTATTTGAATCCCGAAGGCTCCTTCGAGTTCAGCCCCCGTGTCTACGTTCGTCGTCGTCGTCGTCGTCGTCGCACCGAGCCTTCATATCTTTTATATATTAGAATTTTCACCAACCTCCCCCCTCCTCCATCCCGCGAGGCTATCTCTCTCTGTTTACTGTTTGGATTTATTCCAACCCCCCCTCCCTGACCCCACCCTGTTTCTCGACAGACATGCACCTCTTCGACCCCCTCCCTCCCCCTCTGAAACTACTGTATATGAGTTCCTCTCCTCGGTTTTCGTCTTTATACTTTCGGTTTCCACGCTCGAGAGCCACGGGTTTTCCACCCTCGATCCTCCAGCCTCGTCTTCCGCTTCGTCGGCCTGTTAGGCTTCCCGTTGCTCCAAGTCACCCACCGTGGCCAGATTTCCATGCATTCGGTTTCGAATTTTTAGAACGAATTGAGAATACGTCAAGTTTGCTTCAAAATTCATTGAAAAAGCAATTATAAAATAAATAAATTGTATTTTCAGTTGGTTTTCCAGTGAGATTTATTATTTTCTGCTGTTGGGAATAGGTAATTCGACCTGTCGAAACACACCCCTTCAAATTATTCGAGAAATTCGATAATATTAAATCCATAAGGGGGTGGCCTTCTTTGTGATTTTTTTTTTAGTGGTACGTGGGCTGTTATGTACTGAGATTTTGCGGATATATTTAATTATCTTATAAGCATGTACAGTATTTTTTTTATAAAAAAATATTAAGAATTGTGGGAGTTATAACTTCTTATTTAAGGGCTCTTTCTGACTTTCGTGATTCCAGCCGATCCGCTAATCTGAAACCGAGGGGGTCGAAGTATCTTCATTAGGAAAGGTGTAGATATAGCAGGAACTATGGAGAAGTCAAAATCTCGATAAATAAAGGAATAGGGGTATTTCAAGTATCGAATTTCTATTTCTTAACCTTTCTTTTGGTTTTAGCGTATTAGAAAAAATAATAAACTAAATATTTTTTAAATCACTAGTTCCAGCAATAAAGGCGTGACTGCTGAATATTCTCTCCAAATTTAAAGTCAATCGATCTGCTAGATCTTAAAATACCATAGAAGCCAATCTTTTTTTAAACAAGAAGTTATAACTCTCACAATTTTTAATATTTTCTTATAAAAAAAATACATGTATATACTTATAAGATGAATAAATATATCTGCAAAATCTCAGCACAAAACAGCCTAGCTACCATTAAAAAAAAAATCACAAAAAAGGTCGAATAAATGACAGTCTAGACAGTAATATCCCCTTAACAGTCTCATCTAACGCCAGCAGTTAAAATTCATAGAACAAACATAGGAGAAAGTCTCGAACATCTCGAGAACCATTGGCTAAACACCGACTGGCATTAGGGTTGTTAATTTGAGCGGAGGGCTAGATTAGCGTGAAAAATAATTATCCCGACGCGGAGAAAGTGATGTACCGCGTTCGGGATGTCGATGAATTCGATTGTTCGGCCGAAATCGACGGTATATCGTTAAATTTTAAACTCGTTACGTACGCGGTGTCTCGAATGTTTATTTAGCGTCGTTTTATACACGCGAACGATGCAACGAAGCCACGACACGTCATCGCGGACACTTCGGAACGAGACCAGCGAGCGGAACAGGGGGATGGAGAGAAAAAAGAGAGACAGAAAAATTCCCCCGGGGGTAAAAATTCGGTGATCTGTCCACTGTCGATTCGTTTATTCCACAAATCTGAATCGGATTTACCTTCTAGCTTTTTCCTCGCATTCCATATTGAACGTCCCTTTCGGATCTGTTAGCCGTGATATTTTCATAGCCTCGATA